ACCTGAGCCGAAGGCAGACGCTTAACGGCTGAGCCACCCAGGCGCCCCCTGTTTTTTAAATTTTTTTAAAAGTTTTATTTATTTAAGTAATCTGTACACCCAGCATGGGGCTCGAACTCACAACCCCGAGATCAAGAGGTGCATGCTCTTCCACCTGAGCCAGCCATGCACCCCTAGATTCTTTCATTCAGCTTAATATTTTCTTTTTTTAAATTTATTTTATTTTTTTAAAAAGACTTTATTTATGTATTTCACAGAGAGAGAGAGCACAAGCAGGGGAAGTGGCAGACAGAGGGAGAAGCAGTCTCCCTGCAGAGCAGGGGGAGCCCGATGCGGGACTTGATCCCAGGACCCTGGGACCATGACCTGAGCTGAAGGTAGTCACTTAACCAACTGAGCCACCCAGGCGCCCCAGCTTAATATTTTCATGAGTCTTATTCTTTTTCAATGTATTTCATTTTGTGGTTATACCTTAATTTATTTAACTATATTACTTTTGTTGGACATTTAGGTTGATATTCCTTGTATGTGTAGTTTTCTATTTACATAGATATCCAACTATAATATAAATTGCTAAAGATGGAACTATGGGATCAAAACAGTATATGCTTTTCTTTTTTTTAGAGAGAGAACGCGTGCGTGAATGGGGGGGAGGGGCAGAGGAAGAATGAGAGACAATCTTAAGCAGGCTCTATGCGACGCAGGCCTTGATCTCAAGACCCTGAGATTGTGACTTGAGCCAAAATCAAGAGTTGGATGCTCAACCAACTGAGCCACCCAGGTGCCCCAATACATGCTTTTTTAATTTTGGTAGATAGTGCCAAGTAGCCCTTTGTAGAGACCTAACTAATTTATATCCTCCACCCCCCTTCCAACTCCAACAACGTGTGAAATGATTATTTCTCTATAAAACTTTCAAACAGTATGTATAGAACTTTTTCATCATTGCCAAAGGAGGAATAAATAGTTTTAATTTGCATTTTTATTATCAATGAGAATAAGAATCATTTCATTACTTTTTTTTTAAGGATCGTTTCATTACTTTAAGAGCTATTTGAATTTCTTGTACTGTCGTTTTTGTTGTTTTTGCAATTTTTCTTTTAGGTGGTTGGGTGCTTATTGATGCTTGGTATTTTTTATATGTAAAAGAAATTAGTCCTTTGTCTTTGATACATATTGCATATATTTTTGCTAGTTTGTCTTTTGTCCTTTAATTTTATTATGTTTGTTGCCATGCAGACATTTTTATTTTTACTTAAAAATTTGTTTATTTTTCAGACATCTTTATTTGTATGTTATTGAACATGTCAGTCTTTTATGACTCCTGAGCTTTGAGTCATCTTTAGAAGGGCTTTTCTTTTTTTTTTTTTTAAGATTTTATTTATTTATTTGAGAGAGAATGAGAGAGAGCACATGAGAGGGAGGAGGGTCAGAGGGAGAAGCAGACTCCCTGCCGAGCAGGGAGCCCGATGCGGGACTCGATCCCGGGACTCCAGGATCATGACCTGAGCCGAAGGCAGTCGCTTAACCAACTGAGCCACCCAGGCGCCCGAAGGGCTTTTCTTTTTTAAGATTTATTTATTTATCTTAGAGAATAAGACCAAGCGAGCGTGAGTTGAGGGGAGAGGGGCAGAGGGAGAGGGAGAAAGAGAAACCTAAGCGGACTCCACTTGGAACCTGATATGAGACTCAATCCCACAACCTCGAGCTCACGACCTGAGCCAAAATCAAGAGTCAGATGATTAACTGACAGCCACCCAGGTACCCCAGAAGTGCTTCTCATTTACTGCTGAGAATAATTTTTTTTCAATTTTTAAATATTGAGATAATTGTAGATTTATGCGTAGTTACGAGAAATAATGCAGAGAGATCTCTTGTATACTTTGCTCAGTTTTCCCCAGTGGTACATTTTGCAAAATTGCTGTCTATTATGACAATCAGGATATTGACATTGATATAATCTACCAGCCTCATTCAGATTTACCAGTTTTACTTGTATCTGTTTACTTGTGTTCAGTTGTGGGTGTATGTGGATTAAGTCCTATACAACTTAGTCACTTTTATAGGTTCTTTTATCCATCATCACAGTTAAGACACTGAATGATTCCATCACAAAGGTCCCTCATTTTGCCCTTTTATAACCACATCTGCTTCCCTGCCACCCAGTCCCTGACAATCTCACTAATCTGTCCTCTATTCCTAAAATTTTATCATTTTAAAGATGTTATATAAATGTACTCCTTATTTATTTTTTAAGATTTTATTTATTTATTTGACAGAGTGACAGAGAGAGGGAATACAAGCTGGGGGAGAGGGAGAAACAGGCTTCCCGCTGAGCAGGGAGCCCAGTGTGGGACTTGATCCCAGGACCCTGAGATCATGACATGAGCCGAAGGCAGATGCTTAACAACTGAGCCACCCAGGCACCCTAAATGTACTCTTTAAAAAAAAAAAGATTTTATTTATTAGAGAGAGAGAGCAGAAGGGGAGGAGAGGCGATGCAGTGCTTGATCCCAGGATCCTGAGATCATGACCTGAGCTGAAGGCAGATGCTTGACTGACAGCCACCCAGGCGCCCAAACGTACTCTTTTTGTATTGTCTTTTTTTTTTTTTTAAGGTGCCAAGATTATAATAAGGAATAAAATCAGATTTATTGTCCTACAGGAGTTTAAAAAGTCAAGTAGCAACTAACAACAGTGGTGAGACATAGAACATATAGAAGTTCCAGGCGCCGGGACGCCTGGGTGGCTCAGTCGGTTAAGCAGCTGCTCTCTGGCTCTCTCCTTCTCTCTGTCAAATAGATAAATAAAGTCTTTTATTTATATATTTAAAAAAAATTTTTTTTAAAGATTTTATTTATTTGACACAGAGAGACACAGCGAGAGAGGGAACACAAGCAAGGGGAGTGGGAGAGGGAGAAGCAGGCTTCCCGCCGAGCAGGGAGCCCAATGCGGGGCTCGATCCCAGAACTCTGGGATCATGACCTGAGCTGAAGGCAGATGCTTAACGACTGAGCCACCCAGGCACCCCAAATAAAATCTTTTAAAAAAAGTGGAATAGAGGAATATATGAAGGGAGGAATATATATACCCCTCTCATTCCAGGTGGATCAAATATTTAAATTTTAAACATGAAACCACATATTTTCCAGATGTACTCATATACCATCATTTATTCAATGATCTGTCTTTTCCCTATTGATAAATGCTATGAACATTAGCATATAGGTTTGCATGGGAGCACAGGTTTTCATTTTTCTGGGTTAATTGCCTGAGAGTGCAGTCCTTTACTTATTTGGGTGGGGGGGCAAGAGATTTGATTTATTGTCCTTAATTGTGGTATAATTTATATACAGTAAAATGCACAGATCTTAAATATTCAGTGTGATGAATTTGACATTGTATAAACCCATGTAATCATCACCCCTACGAATATGGTGTTTTAAATCCAACCAAATAAAGGAACAGTCTAGGAAACTAAGGGCAGTGTCAGTCTGGTAATGAGTGTCTGGTTATCATCTGCTTTGTTTTGTTTTAATGGAAGAAGTAGCTCACTTTCCCAGAATTACTGAAAATGCAGAAGTATTGTTTGCTTCTCAACAAAACAGTACAGTAAAGTACAGTCTAGTTTCTGAGAGAGAAACTTTGATTTTTCTTACAATGTACAGATTCCCCTTATTTCATTAATAGCCACTGGAGCTATTCCTTAAGGTTAATTCCTAATTTGATAAATGATTATTCATTTTTGGTGCTGTGTAGGTAGGCTATATATATATATTTTTTAAAGATTTTATTTATTTGACAGAGAGACATAGCGAGAGAGGGAACACAAGCAGAGGGAGTGGGAGAGGGAGAAGCAGGCTTCCCGCCGAGCAGGGAGCCCGATGCGGGGCTCGATCCCAGGACCCTGGGACCATGACCTGAGCCGAAGGCAGACGCTTAACGACTGAGCCACCCAGGCGCCCCGTTAGGCTATATTTTTGTCTACAGGTCTTATTATAGAAATTCCCATTATACAGAAATCTCTGTTACAAAAAAAGTCTACTTATTTTGAGCAATACCTAGTACTATTTGGGAAGCCCATTGAAGGTTGTGCGAATGTTATTTGAAAGGTATGTTCAGTGTGGTGAAATACTTTGTTAACTATTACCATGTTAACAATCTTTCCCTATCCTGATTCTTCCGGTGGTAACATTTGTGGGTAAGGGAAAAGGAGGCATATGGTTAAAAAACAAACATGTGATCCTGATGCTCTCCTATCTCCTCAGCTGACTCTTGGCCAACAAGTTTTCTCTTGGTCACTTAACCAGTACATAGTTAGTTGCTTTTATCTATTTATTTTTAAAGATTTTATTTATTTATTTGAGAGAGAGAGAGAGAGAGAGCACAAGCTGGGGGAGGGGCAGAGGGAGAAGGAGACTCTCCACTGAGCAGGGAGCCCGACACAGGGCTCGATCCCAGGACCTTGGGATCATGACCCGAGCCGAAGGCAGACGCTTAACGGACTGAGCCACCCAGGTGCCCCGTCAGTTGCTTTTGTTAAGGGCAAACCAGGAAAGGTCATTTCTCATATTAGAGAGTTAGACAATTTGTTGGGGGAGGAACGCAGCAGTACGGGGCAAGAGTTGACAGGGCAGATACTCACTTAGGTTGCTAAGCTTCACCAAGTTCTGAAAACCACTGCCTTGATTCCTGCAGGTTCATTTCACAGTTTTGGCCAATGTTTTCATATGCTGCTAGCTTATCCCTAACAATAGAACACTGTTTTATTGGAAGAGAATCTATATTACTATAATCATCATTAATTAATTTTAAAAGTTGTGTATGAAAGAGATGGAGATGTTTTCCTCGGTGCCCAGTATGAATAAGGAGACAAGAATAAGGATGTGTTTCTCCACATCTGGTTTGCTTGGATCCTGGTCAGTGAAGATGTGCCAGGCCATGCAATTAAAATGGTTCTGTGGCAAGGGTGGTGCTTGATGCCAGTTGTTCATTTACAGGTAGCTTTTGAAAATGGCTGCCTCTCATTTCACCGGGCTCACAGCCGTTGCTGATGTAATTAAAGATCTAGACACTCAGATAGCTGTAAGTAAGCGCACTGAGGCCGCTATTGGCGGAACTTGGTAAATGTGCTTCTGGTCTTGATGACACCAAAGCTGCTGTCCACAGTGTCTACCTCATGGCTTTAAAATTGAGGAGTCTTGGCTACTCCAGGCTAGGGACTCTGCATGTACTTAAAGATTGCTAACACTCAGAAAATTTGCTCTTGATGACAAGGAACAGCTTACTTTTAACAGTTGCTAAAAATTGTGTTTATTAGACATAGACCTGACATAGACTTAAGCATGTTTTGAAGTGCCAAAATGAACTAATCTGTTTTCTTAAGTTTTGTGGCTGAGTTTTAAATATGTGATTGTGCCATGATTTATTTGAATTTAACATTATTTGCTGTTCAAAAATAATGCATGTAGTACTTAACCTATTCTGTTTTTCAAAGTCTTCAAAAATGTCTTATTCTAGTTTATTTTTGTATGTAAGATTTCTTATTTCATTTGCTTTCTTCCTTATTTAATTTTGTGGACTATTTCATTTAGCTTTTGGAGAAGAGATGGTTTCTAAATATGAGGTGAGAGCAATGAACATTCTTCATTCCCTCTATTTTTAATGTGCAGGTATCAAATGGTCACTATCCCAGATATCCTGAAGACCCTTCAAGTCTGACAGACGTTATGCAATTTTACTTTCAAACCTTATCCTTTATTAAAGGTGTTTCTGGAGCTAGTTCTCTTGTTTTCCTTCTACAGTTGATTGGCCTTGGTCCTCACAGCTCCAAAAAGAAACAGGATCTCGATAAGCTCTATGAGCTGAAGTCCAAAGCTCGGCAGATTATGAACCAGTTTGGCCCTTCAGCCCTAATCAACCTCTCCAATTTCTCATCCATAAAACCGGAACCAGCCAGCACCCCTCCACAAGGCTCCATGGCCAATAGCACTACAGTGGTAAAGATACCGGGTCCTCCTGGGACAGGAGGGCGTCTCAGCCCTGAAAACAATCAGGTATCATCTCTTACTTTTTGCTCTCCCTAGGCATCTCTTATCTGTTATTTGAACCAATAATGCTTTGAGAGATGTCTGTCTCAGATGCTGCCTCTTCCTCTCAGCTGAAAAAGAGTCTTTTCCCTCCTTTGGACTTCTAAAGTTCTTTATCACATTATCATGTACAGCGTTTATCAATGTTTACTCTGTGGTGTTTATGTGTGCGTATGTATACGTACATACATTCATACACACACACTAACACTGTTGCCTATGACAGGTTTTTATATATGTATATATAAATATATATACACTATATAATTGTTAAATAAAATAGTTAAATAAAATAATAAAATAACTAATGGATTCATTTTTCATTATTCCTGTAATAAAAGCATTATTGCCTCTGGTCTTTTCTCCTTCTAGTTCAGCCAGCTGCTCCATTATTAACTTTCTGCACTGATTCTAAAATCTGCCCCCCCCCAATGCCCTCTCTCCCCCACTTTCTGCCCATGATTCTGATTCTGCCCTCCAGAGCCACAAGAGATAAGAAATAAGTATAATCTCTTGTCTTGGGCCTTATAGGCTGGATAGAGTAGGAGGGAGAGACATTTCAAGGGAATGGGAGGAGGGACTAGCAAAGGCAAATGGGGAGGGTTGGGCAGATAGTCAGGAAGCCAACCTGTGTTGAATGTGGAATCTGTTAGAGAAGAACAGGAGGTAAAATTATATAGGCAGGAATATGGCAGAATATACTGGGCATATACGAGTCTGTCTCTTTTGAAACTTAGTCATTAGACAATCTTTGCAAATATTTAATAGAGGAGTAAGTAACATAATAAAAGTCGTATGTCTTAGCAGGATTAACTTGGCAGTAAGTGGATAAGAAAGGTAGGAAAGGGGTGGACTGAGAGGAAGACCAAGTCTAAGACTTTTGCAGTAAATCAAGACATGGAGTGAAGGCTTGCCTTAAGTGGTAATGGTAGAATGGATAGATCTGACACATAATTAACAAATAATTTATTTAGAAAATTCATCTCTTCTTTATTTCCAAGATTATACATGCTTATCACAGAAACTTTAGAAATACAGAATAAAGAGCCCATAATTCTACCACCACCCCAAAAAAACTATGCTTAGCATTTTAATGTGTGTCTTTTGATTATTGTTTAATGGCATGTGTATGTGACATGACATTTCAATGAAAGAGGAATCACAGTTGTACACACTTATGCAAATATTATACAGAGATGAACACATGTTCCCTGCCATCAGAGAGCTTTCAGCCTATTAAGTCAGAAACAGGCAAGTTTATAAATATATGCAGTGACAGAAGGGTGCACGGGGTACAGTAGAGGCCAAAGGAGGAAGTGGTTCCTTTTACCTAGGTGAGCTAGGAAGGGCAGAAAGGAGGCACCATGGACTGAGCAGATAGGAAGAAGGGTGGAAGAACATGTCCAAAGGCAACAGAGGTGCAGTATCAGTTATGGTGGTCAGAAAATTGCAAATTACTTAATGTAGAGGAACGGTAAGGCACAGTGAGCTCAAGAGGCAGAAATAAACTGACAGGTGTTGGCCTCTTCCACACTGCTCTTTTAGCCTTTCCCTAGGCCGCTTCTGTCTTGGGAGTGTAGTCTTGGAGCAGACTACCAGGTAGGCCAGACTGTTAACTTTTGGAAGGTAGAAACTAAACCCAACAAATTGACAGCATTTCTTCATTAGAGGGTAATGAAGTGTTCTGTTTTCCTTAATACTTGGCTGAAAAATCTTCTCCCAATTAACTTTAGGTATTGACCAAGAAGAAATTACAAGACTTAGTAAGAGAAGTGGATCCTAATGAGCAATTGGATGAAGATGTGGAGGAGGTAAGATGGAGTTGGGCATGATGAGTCTGGGTCCCTGAGAGCTAATACATAATAGCGGTTAAGAGCACAGACTTCAGAGGCAGACACATCTGAATTTGAATCTTGGCTCTGCCACTTACCAGCTTTGTAGCTGTGGACATGTCACTGAAGCTTTTTGAGACTCAGCTTCCTCTTGTGTTGGTAGGGTGTGGTATTATTTACCGACAGGGTTATTGTGAGGGTCCCGTGGAATGACTTCTACAAATCACCTGGGAGAATGCCTACACTTTATACCTAGCCGCTGCTGCTACTTTTGCTTGGTGGAAAGGGCTTAGTTTGCTGCTCATAGGCAATCACTTTCTTTTTTTTTTTTAAAGATTTTATTTATTTATTTGAGAGAGAGAATGAGAGAGAGAGAGAGCACATGAGAGGGGGGAGGGTCAGAGGGAGAAGCAGGCTCCCTGCTGAGCAGGGAGCTTGATGCGGGACTTGATCCCAGGACCCCAGATCATGGCCTGAGCTGAAGGCAGTCACTTAACCAACTGAGCCACCCAGGCGCCCCTCATGTATAAATTTTTGTGTGGAAATATGTTTTCATCTTTCTTGGTAATATACTTGGGAGTAGAAGTGCGGAGTCACATGGTAACTATGTTTTTCCTTTGAGGAACTGCCCGTTTTTTCCAAGCTGCCGCACTCTTTTACATTCCTACCAGCAGTGTGTGCGATTTCCATTTTCTTATATTAGTTTTTTTTTAAGATTTTATTTATTTATTTGTCAGAGAGAGAGAGAACATGTGCATGCACAAACAGGGGGAGCAGCAAGCAGATGGAGAAGCTCCCCACTGAGCAAGGAGCTTGATACGGGGCTTGATCCCAGGACCCTGGGATCATGACCTGAGCCGAAGGCAGCCGCTTAACCGACTAAGCCACCCAGGCGCCCCTCCCTCATTTTTCTAATATAGTTTCTGATTAATATATATATTTTAAGGATTTTATTTATTTATTTGTCAGAGAGAGAGAGAGAACAAGCAGGGGGAGTGGCAGGCAGAGGGAGAAGCAGGCTCCCCACTGAGCAAGGAGCTTGATACGGGACTTGATCCCAGGACCCCAGATCATGGCCTGAGCTGAAGGCAGTCACTTAACCAACTGAGCCACCCAGGCGTCCCTTCAATATAGTTTTGTCACAACTTTTAGATAACTCAGAAATCAGTATTGACATTATTCTGATCAAGTACATATTGTTCACCACTGAACCAAGTCCTGTTTTGTACTACCTACTGAAGGTGATAATTGACTTTTTTTAAGGTTTTATTTTATTATTATTATTTTTTAAAGATTTTATTTATTTGACAGAGAGAGACACAGCGAGAAAGGGAACACAAGCAGGGGGAGTGGGAGAGGGAGAAGCAGGCTTCCCACTGAGCAGGGAGCCCGATGTGGGGCTCAATCCCAGGACTCTGGGATCATGACCTCAGTCGAAGGCAGACGCTTAATGACTGAGCCACCCAGGTGCCCCAGAGATTTTATTTTTTAAGTAATCTCTATACCCAACATGGGACTTGAACTTACAACCCTGATATCAAGAGTTGCACACTGTACTGACTGAGCTAGCCAGACGCCCCTATAATTGACTTATTTTTATTTAGTTTTCTTTGTGCCATTTTTATTCTGGTTCTGCTATCAGCTCTGGTATACACCTATCAACATTGTTTTCCAAATGGAAAAATAATCTACAGATTTGGGTCCTCCCCCGACTCAGATTTCACTCTCAGAAACCTCCATCCTTTAAGGAGGGCCCGTGATGTGACGAGCACTGGGTGTTATATGCAACTGATAAATCACTGAACACTACATCTAAAACTAATGATGTACTATATGTTGGCTAATCGAATTTAAATAATAATAATAAAAAAAAGAACCCTCCATCTTCTTCTGGTCTAATTAATTTTAGGCCCCTTGAACAAACCCTGCTTGGGTCTTCCTTTTGCTATTTTTTTCCTCTTTGGCTCCCTTGTTTCCTAGATCCCACATCCTCTTCTTTTTTTTTTTTAATTTGACAGAGACACAGCGAGAGAGGGAACACAAGCAGGGGGAGTGGGAGAGGGAGAAGCAGGCTTCCTGTGGAGCAAGGAGCCTGATGTGGGGCTTGATCCCAGAACCCTAGGATCATGACCTGAGCCGAAGGCAGACGCTTAACAACTGAGCCACCCAGGCACCCCCCACATCCTCTTATTTACTCTCTTTTTTTGTTAGAGCACGTTTTTTTTTGCTGTTGTTACAGCCTACAAAAGGATAGATGAGAAGCAAATGTTTGAAAGTATCTTACATTCTAACCTCACAGTTTTTAGTTTGCGTGAGTTTAGAATTAGATTATGAAAAGATATATATTTTCATGGAGCCCCACGTTTGGCATGGAACCTGCTTAAAAACGAAAGAAATCTCATGCTATTCTTTTTTTTTTTTAAGATTTTATTTATTTATTTGACAGAGAGAGACACAGCGAGAGAGGGAACACAAGCAGGGGGAGTGGGAGAGGGAGAAGCAGGC